AGTGTCATTGACATCATAGGAAGTACAAGGACATATAAGGAGACTATCAATGAGATGTTGACGATTGTCGTCGGCCATCTCGTCGCCGGGTGTTGAAGTAATCTTCATCTCTTTTCCTTTTGGGAGGAGGGAGGGCCGAAGCCTCTTCGATGCGCACGTGTTTCTCAGCGCGACTTAGTAACTCTTCCAGAGTGGTTGGAGGTCTTCCTGCAATAGATTCATTGAATCTACCTTCCTTCAAGTTTTGTTGAATGATTCCAGCGAGCATGCTTCCTCCCACGTTAGGAACTTTGTGAGATGCCTCTACAAATCGTTGAATGTAGTTGCGGAGGGTCTCGCCCTCTCTTTGGGTGATAGTGAAGAGGTACGCGGGAGTCTTTGCGTACTCTTTGTTGATAGCGAAATGGTGGGTGAAGCGATCTGTTAGTTGGGAGAGAGCTTCAATTGACCCAGTGGGCAAGGAGTTGAACCAGCTCAATGCTCGTTCGGAGAGCGTTGTGCGAAACATCTTGCACATTGCCGCATCAGTTGGGCCGTATAGATCTGCCATGGCGTAGAACTTTTCAAGGTGCTCCCGTGGGTCACCAGTTCCATCGAACTGCGGTAGACTCGAGACCTTTACCCTTTGGGGTAGTATCTCATTGATTATTGCGACAGTGGAGGGATTGTGCCTTATTGGAGGTATTGCCCTTCCACCAATGGGATTACCTATGTGGGGAAGGTGATTTGAGCGAGATACCTGACTGCTAATTTCAACCTCTCCACCATTGTGTGGAGGAGCTCGTTGGTGAGAGCCGTTGCCTTTTGAAGGTGAACGTGGGTCTCGTCGCCCAGTTCGTGCATCTTGGCGATGAGTAGATTGTTGCATTCGGGACCGTGGGTCCGAGGTAGAGGAGGAGACACTTATTTGGTTCTGGACTGGCGGTGGTGCCATAGGTGGCTCCACAGGTGGAGCAGGTGCTGGTATCGCGTTGGGAGCATTTGCTCCCATCGTGGCGAGTATTGGGTCACGGCCTCTGTGGCGGCGCGGTTTGAGGCTTCTGCTATCATGCGCTGGAGCGCATCCTCGGTTATTTGAACCGTTCGGGGAGCAGGGAGTGGTGGATCGGCGAGTGGTGGGTCCCGAGGGGGGATCACCTGAACCTCGCGAGACGGCTCCGTGGGACGTGGAGGAGGTGGCAAGCCAGATCCTCCACGGACTGGGAGGTTGTTAGCTGTGTCATTTTCTCTCCGAGCAGACGCCTCAGGAGGATCTTGTTGGCTACGTGATCTGGTTTGCATCGTTCCCACAGACGGTGCCAAAATGATGATGCTAATTACTTAGATCACCTGGGGTAGTGTAGAAAACGAACTGGGAGAGCAAAGCAGATCAGTAGCTTGACAACTTGATGATCCTGAGGTACCTGCGATCATAGAATACGTGAACTAGGCCGGGGGTTGATCCGACGGAAACCCCTCCGACACTCAAGTCAGACGTGCTGATCATAGAAATAGTTCAGAGAATACAATTAATAGTATTGCTCCGATAATAGGACGTACCTTAACAAAATGAGTAAAACCTCTATTTATATGTCGTTTATTGGGTTGAGTTTGCTTTGTTGGGCCCAAGCCTTATTTTGAAGGTGTTTGGGCTTTCGTGTAGTGGGCCCAATTATTAGATAAATTGTAGGCTCATTGAGTTGGCCCAATTAGGCATATCATTAAGGGGAAACCCCTCCGACGCTCAAGTCAGACGTGCTGATCATAGAAATAGTCCAGAGAATACAATTAATAGTATTGCTCCGATAATAGGACGTACCTTAACAAAATGAGTAAAACCTCTATTTATATGTCGTTTATTGGGTTGAGTTTGCTTTGTTGGGTCCAAGCCTTATTTTGAAGGTGTTTGGGCTTTCGTGTAGTGAGCCCAATTATTAGATAAATTGTAGGCTCATTGGGTTGCCCCAATTAGACATATCAGTATTATATATGGTGACTCATAAGCCATAATTGAACACGTATGCTATTCACCGCACAAATTTAAGCACACACGGAATGTAGTTTGGCACAATTTGTATTTTGTACACACGATGAAGAAACCTTTTTTTGCCACACCGTGAATGGGAAATTGAAAGTTATCAAACAAAAACCACTACCTTGTTTACCGTCACGTTGATATTTAATACATTGAATGTAACGAGTTCAGAAATTGGAATATTCTTTTCGTTCCGAATTTTTAGGGGTTTTTCTTAGTGAGACCTCCAAAAATATCTAGGTATATCCATCTTCTTTTGTGTTATCATGTAAATTCCCCTAATTGTTTAATTAAATAAATATTTTGCATGATCAGAAATGATATACTTATGTTAATCCTACTAGTAGTCGTGCCCGTGCGTTGCACGGGTTCGAATTCCACAAAGGAAAAAAATAATTATTTAAAAACATGATAGTACAAATTGTAATAAAAAATGTATCTAATAATATTAAAATATATATGTGAAATTCAAATTACATTGCTATTACCTTATTTTACTGTAGCATATATTTTTCATCCTGCAATAAATATATATACCAAGTGTCAATATATAAAAATATATGTTTGATAATAATTAATACAAATTTAACAAAGGGGATGGCTATTTCAAATATCAAATGTTTCTCATTTAAATACCGCCTAATTAATAAATAGGTAATGACATTTGCACTTTTAATGAAAATCGATATCACACAAACATATAAAAAACTTCATTTTTCTTTATTTAATAGCACACACACAAACCTCTCACACCCTTATGTTTCTTCTTCACAAACCTCCCACCCACTCATGTTCTCCTCCACCTCCTCTCAT